GGCAGGGGGCGGGGCAGAGTCTATAAGGAAGTTCTGACTGCCTTCTATTGAGGCTGCGATCCTGGAACTCCTGCTCTCCTGATAGGGCCAGTCTTTTATCAGGAAGAAACTTGAGAAGAACTCCCAGACAAGACCCTGGAGCCAAAGAAGCAGGCTCCTCAAGGCCCAGGGGTCTCTATGCAGAGGCCTGGAGTGGGGTTAAGGACTCAGTTCCACCCCAGGCTGACCCTCGGAAAAACATGGGGCTCCCAGCCATCCAGGTCTGAGAACCAAAAACCTCTTCTGCACTGGGGCCAAATGCAGAAGCAGGGCCACAGCAAGCAGTGAGGAGTGGGAAAGAGCCTTTCTCAAGCTGGGGGGTTGCAAAACCCTCCCCCCACCACCCCGGGCTTCCTGCTTGCGGTCCGAGCACACCGCCCCAGCCCAGGTGGGGTCAGCGCCCCTTCCTCTCGACCTTGGGCTGCCAGACCTCCTGACTCCCTCACCTGAGACTTGGCCTCAGGACGGTTCTACCTTTTGGATCCACTTCCAGATCTACTCCAGATCACACCCCTGGGCTGTTTTCCCCTCCAGCCAGGGGCAGGGGGGATGGTCAACAGGAGGTGGGCAGGGAAGAATACCAAAGGGAGGGGGGCTGAGTACCTTCACCCCCGCCCCAGGCCCCCCTCACTGCTCGGGGTGGGGCAGCGTGGCTGACCATCTCAATCCCAACTGGGTGAATGCAGTGATGGACCGGAAGGGGACCTGGAAGCCTTTCTCTCTAGTCATTTCACAGAGATTTAAAGTTTTTTTTGTTGGGGGAGGGGGAAGCCCAGAGGCCTGGAAGGACCTGCCCAACCTGCTGAGGGCATGGGGTATGGAATTTAAGGATGGAGTAAAGGTAGAGGTGAGAGCTACCAGCCAAGTCAGATGGGAAGGTGTGGGGTGTCAGGGACCCTGTGTGGGGAGGGAAGGGGGCACGCGGTGGAGGAAGGGAGGCAAGGAGAGATGGGGCCTTTCTGACAGAAAACAGGGGGCAGTGACTGCAAAGCTGCTGGGTGTCGCGGGGTGACGAGGGTAAGAGGAGGGAGGGACGGTCTGCGGAGGGAGGCGGGGACTCGGCCCTGCAGGGACGTGGCTGCGGGTGTGTGTGTGTGTGTACATACCTGCCGAGTCAGGGGCAGGGAGGAAGCGGTCCCTCCCTGGGGAGATCACCTGAGGGTCAAGGGCTGGGGTCCTGGCTAACGGAGTGGATGAGGGCAGAGGTGGGAGGGGCCGAAGGGTCTTTGACACAGTTTGCTGGCAGATGCTGAATAAGTGGAGGGGACGCGGGGGAGGGGTCTCGGCCCAGAACCCACGTTGAGAGGGATCTGAGATAAGCAGAGTAAATGAAAGGACCCCAGTAAAAGGAATGGTCACCTTTGTTGAGGCGCTGGAGGGTGGGGTGTGTGTTTTAGACCCGCGTTTGGTGGGGGGGGCGGTTGGGAATTCAAGTAGCTGAGGAGGGGGAGAGGGGGCCACGGGGTCCTCAATCTCGGTGTGCGCGCGTGTGGAGAAGCATCACTAACAAGGCCAGAGAACCGGACCCTCCAGACCCCTGTGCTTATCTAGAAGGAGCCGCGGGGTCCCCCACTCCGCGTGCGCGCGTGCGGTGTGTCGGGGGCAGCGTCACGGTGAGGAGGGGTCGCGTGCCAGGGGCCGCGGGTCCCCAGACCCATATGCGTGGTAGGGAGGAGGTCCCGAAGCCTCGTGATTATCTGGAAGAGGCCAGGGGTCCCCGCCCCTGGTGTGTCAGGGATCGGGGAGCTCGGCTGGCCGCATGGGTCCCGGGACGGCGCGGGGTCCAGGGTTCGGGGGCTCGGGAGCCGAGGCCGGCTCTCGGGGTGGGTGGGGAACCGTATCGGGCGGGCACTCACTGCTTGAACATCTTCTCCATGTCCTTGATCTGCTTCCTGGAGAACTCCTTGAACTCGGTGTAGGGGTTGAAGATGCGGCGGCTGGGCGACTGGGGCTCGCCGATGCCCTGGTTGAGGTCGGCGCGCCGCAGCAGCTTGGCGCTCAGCTCTTCGTCCGCGCTGCCCAGCGCCTCGGCCGCCTCGTCGGGTGCCCCCGCCGCCGCCGCCGCCCCGTTCAGCCCGGGCTGCTCCGGGGCCTCGACGCCGCCCTCGCCCTCCATCTGCAGCCGCCGGCTCAGCTTGTTGGCCAGCTCGTCCGTGGCCATGGTGGCCCGCGCGGCGCTCGCCCCCGGACCCTGCTAGTCGCGCGCCCGCGCCGCCTCTGGCCGCGCTCTTCCTCTTCCTGACACTCCCCAGCGCCAGGCACCGCCCCCGAAGGTGGGACTTACGCCCCTCGCTGGGCCCGCCCGCTCCCGCCCCGGCTCCCGGCCTTGCGCAGCCGGCCCCGCGCGGGCTCGGGCTCCGGCTTGAGCTCCGCGACTAGAGTGTACCGGGGGCGCCGGGCCCGCCACCATCCTCCCCCGTAAGGTTGGGGGGGCTCCCGTAGAACCCATCCCCCCTCTCCTCCTCACTGTGCCGGCTGAACGGGAGAGGTCGGGCTGGGGGCCGGGGACCGAGGCGGGAAGGACGAGGGGGTCCTTCCCTGCAGTTTGGGTGTGGGTCTGGGGCGCAGGGGGGCGCCGCCCCCAACCCCTTCTCTGGAATCCCCACGCCGTGGAGTCGTAATCCCATGGCGGTGTGACACCCTGTCGGTTGCCATGGAGACGACTCAATGTTACACACTGTCGCTTTCGATGAGGGTTGCAGAGGTAATGAAGAAGGTGTACCCGGTGAGCAGGAACCCCCGTTTAGACGTAACCGCAGGTGGAGCTGCTGCATCTTTTGGAGAGGGATGGATCAGCAGCTGCGAGGGATATGGCCCTGGGCCTCAGCCCTGAGAGGTCCTCGCAGATAGCGGGAGAGCGAGAGGGAGAAGAGCCTTGCCCTCTCCCTGTGGGCCAGCACATCACATGAATGACTTGGCAGAATAGCTGCTGGGCCACGCGGTCGTCTGAGACTTAATTTTAGGGGAACTGACAGGGAGATCTTGATATTGCCATTTCAGTGGGGACCCCAGAGAAGAGATGTCCTCTTCAAAGGCTCGAGGGATGGGGTGTCAGGAAGGGACCAGAGAGAATTTCTCTCTGTGGTCTGGTCTGTCACCTTAAAACTGCAAAGCTGTGGACCTCCAGCAGCGGAACCACTGCGGGGGAGGAGTGGGGCTGGTTAATAATTCAGGTTCCCAGGCACCAATCCAGACCGACAAAACTGATCTCTGGAATGGGGCCCAGAAATCTGCATTTTTAGCAGACACCCAGGGGAGTTTGAGAATCACTACTGTGCTTTGTGCTTATTCTCTAAAACAGGGGTCCCCAGCCCCCGGGGATCTAATGCCTGATGATCTGAGGTGGAGCTGATGTAATAACGATAGAAATAAAGTGCACGATAAATGTAATGCGCTTGAATCATCCCGAAACCTTCCCCCCTACCCCGCCCCCGTCCTTGGAAAAATTGTCTTCCATGAAAACGGACCCTGGTGCCAAAAAGGTTGGGGACCGCTGCTCTAGAATGTTAGGGTGATGCTCAAGACCCCTTTGCAGAAGCAGCTCCTACCCATCAATGTGCAGAGAAGAGATGGGCTTAGGGCTTAAAAAAACAGTGCTCTGGAGGCAGAGAGCCCTTGAGAATGTATAACCAGCAAGCTGTTACAGACTGATTTGCACAGAACAAACCCTCAACTGATATTTTTTGATTTTCCACGGTTTAAGAATATTGCTGAATTAATTTAAAAGGCATTTTAAAAATAATAAAATTGACAAAAAAACCTTCAGGGTTCAAGAAAATATGAAATTTACATTAACTTATTTTTGAGATTGTTTCTGTATCCAATAAAGACGTTCAGCTTAAATGACACGATTTTGTTTTTTTAAAGCTTGTAATTAAGTTTCTGTTGGTCTTGGGCAACTTGGTACAGCTACTTTTAAAAGGTAAGTTTCTATATCTTCCATATGTGTCCTTCAAGGACCCAACAGAAGCAAAATAGTTGTTTTTTTACTGAATGCAAAAGACTAGGGACAGGGTGTAGATCAAAACTTTAAAAATTATGCCTGCAAATGCTTGGGTTTGCAAATTCTGAGCTTTCTTTTTAAAGCAGCTAATTACTTAAAAAAATCTGATGAACCTCAACTTGCCCCAACCTATGGTTTATAGCGGGTCTGCATGAAATAGGGCTACCTTTTTTTTTTTTTTTTGGAAACGCTGTGAGGCATGCAGGATCTTAGTTCCTCCACCAGGGATTGAACCCGTGCCCCCTGCAGTGGAAGCACGGATCCCTAACACTGGACTGCCAGGGAATTCCCAGGGCTACCTTTATTATGAAATGTTTTGCATCTGGGAGCAAACTTTTTGACAGTGAAGAGATTAGGTGAGAGTTTGCCTTCTTGAAAAACAATTTACATGTATGTGAAAAACCTGGGGTTTTGGTTTAAATTAACCACACAGGCTGCATGTATTAAATGCTCTGGTTAATTACCCATTTGGCTCATGTGGACACAACCCTCTGCAGGGAGGGCAGGCTCCCTGGTGCACAGTTGGGGGAATTCCAGTTCATTACCTATTGCATCTTGTAAAAGGGGAGCAGAACGTCCAGACCTTGCTGCAGTTATGTTGAGGCCTAGCTCAGGAAATGCTGCCAGATGGGTGAGCCCTTTTAACACCTCTTGGGCTGATTTTCTCACAGGTGCTCAGGGGTTGAGAGGTCTGAGACACTGTGACCATGGAGTGGGAGCTCACGCTGCCCAGAGCTCTGCCTCATTTCAGAGGCCTTATTGATCCGCTCCAAAGACAGAGATGAGTGCTAGGGGCTGCATTTTATTTGAACTCTTTCCTTCTAAGGTCATTGGACTTCAGGAAAAGCACTTATTCAGAAACCAGAGAAGTAGTGGGGGAAGAACAGCCCGGGATAACTGATGATCCCTGATTTGCTGGTGAAACTTCCAGGAACCATCAGTTGCCTGTTCATTAGGGGAAATCACTTCTGAGTGACCCTGAGCGCTGTGTCCCAAGCATGGATTTAGGCAGAAAGAAACGATCTGGACTGGTTATGCATTACGGCATTTGGTCATGCGGAAAGAATGATCTTCAGGAAAAATCACACACTTGGCAAAGGATTTTTACAGAGGCAGGGGTGAGAGAGGGCCAATTCTGACGATACTCCAGCGACAAGGGAGCTAGGCAGACTTAGTCACCGTTGACATATTTCTTTGCTTCCTCCCACATCTACTTGTGTAACTGTCTTTTGAGGAGGGGTAAGGTAATATTAAGAAAAACAACAGCACTTTGAAAAAGAGGGGGAGACACAGGAAGGGTTGGGAAGAGCTCTTGGGTGATGGGGGCAGTTGGAGAGAACTCTGAGGGGCATTCCAGAGCTGGACGGAACTGGGTGGTCCCTCCAGCTTGAGATGCTGGGAAAACAAGAAGGGATTAGGGAGGCCAGCAGAGATAAAGTCAGCTCATAAACTACATCATTCACTTGGCACTTTATAAATACCAATTTACTAATTAATCATCACAAACCCTCTGTGTTCACCAGCAAACCTGTGATGGATAGAGAAAGGTGCACAGAGGTCAAAGTTCAGGGACAACCCAGATACTCATTTGGAGCAATTGGAGGAGTGAGAGCAGGGAATGGGGTCACAGCCTGGTTGACCTCAGAGGCTTTCTCACCTCCTGCAAAGTCTGGAAGCTGTGCATAGGGGATCGGGGTGGGGAGCCGTGTCAGGCAGGCGCTCATGGGACTGCTGAGCAGGGCAGGCGCAAAAGGGCACGATGGGGCCAAGACCTGCAGGTGGTTGCAGGTCATTAGAAGCCAACCTATCTCTCTAGTGAGCTCTCTTTTGGGGGTTATCTTGGATGCGTTGAATCTGCTTGAAAACCAAAATTGTCTTTCAAATTATTTGCATATGCCCGACTGGACAGGCTGGAGGAAAAAAATCTGAGCGTGATTTCTGCTTCTGTTAAATCCCAGGTGGTTCTGTGTCCAACGTTAACACTGATTGGCCTGAGTCTTAGCCCTGTTTTAAACTCTCAAAGACTCTGTGTGTGTGTGTGTGTGTGTGTGTGTGTGTGTGTGTATACCATGTGGCTTAAAACTCAGCAATGTTGCATCTGCAGTGCCTTCCTGGACCCTTTCCAAAGCTGGCAATAATACGGGCAGCTGATTTCGATTTTTATACTCTTCTGTGAAAGCAGTGTGCGTCTACGTCCAGGCAATCAAGACCTATTTATTAAGTGTGTTTGGCACCAGGCTCTGGTCCTGGAATTCTTCTGGTCGTGGGCAAGAGTGGGGGTGGGGGTGGGGAGTGCAGGACTAGCCAGTTTGAAGAGTGAGATCTGTCGGACCCCGCGCTGGGGGACTGACAGAGGCCACGACTGTTCCAGCTAAGCCCGCCTCTGGCTGGGACTCAGCACTTATTACAACCCACAATGAAGCTCTTAATAAAATACCTGACACCTCCTACCCCGCCCCGCCCCAGCACAACTTCCTGGGGGAAGCGACCTGTCTGGCTGGCTCAGTTTTGTCTCCTCAGTGCCCTGCATGGAGCCTGGCCCAAGGTCCTTGGTGGAGAAATCGAGGTTGACTAGATGCACGATGGCCCGCTCTGCCTGAGGGCTCAGGATGGACTGCGTGTTTTCTCAGTGTCCCCTCCAGAGCATCTGGTGGCCCGATTTCAGGTCTCAAGGTCACTGCCAAGAAAGAGAAGCTGCTAAGGTGACACCTCTGTGCACCCACATGACTCAACACAAACGTTAACAGGATCTCTTGAACAACAAGCCTCTCAAGTGTCTGTCCCCTGCTCCTCTGAGGACAGCGTCAGCCGCATCAGATAGGGATTGGGGCCGGGTGACCTGCTGGTCCTTGGGTATCGATGTGGCCCAGAGGTCATTTAGAGCTCTCTGCTCAGCAGACAGGGTGGAAGGAATAAAAGGAAGTTACGGGTAAACACTGCTTGTGGCCGCTGCAGGGGCACATGAGGATTTGGGAAACTGAAAGGAAGGTTGTAAAATTAACACAAGGCGGAGACAGGCAAAGTCGGTTGAAAGAGAGAGCATGGTGCCTAGGCTGGGAACACCTGAACTTATGTAGTAACTAAAGAAAGCAGGGAACTCTAAGAAGGGCTAGTAAACCAGGATGCCGAGAGGAAGGGGTGTGTCATGAAGTCTTGGTTCTTTCAGGCTTGGTCCAGTGGAAGGCAGGTGTCCAGACTCACCAGCAAAGTTTCC